CTCGAGTGCTTGTGTTAGAATCAACGGGGTCTACTCGGACTGGTTTGGCATCCATAAAGGTGTCAGACAGGGCTGTGTAGCTTCCCCGTGGCTGTTCAACCTATTTATGGACAGCTGTTTGGAAAATTTGAAAGTTGAAGAATGCGGGTTAAGAATCGGTGAGTTAACCATCAAATGCCTTTTGTACGCCGATGATCAAGTCATACTTGCGTCGTCGGCGGCCGAGTTGCAAATGATGGTTACATTAATGAACAGGTCATTAAAAGAAAGGGGAATGAAAGTGAACGCAAGTAAGACGAAAGTGATGGTTTTTGAAAGAGATGAAAGCAAAACGGTATGTTAAATAAGAATCGAAGGATAGTTAATTGAGCAAGTGGATGAGTTCGTATATTTGGGATATGTATTCAGCAGGGATGGGAGATATGATAAGGACATTGAACGACGAGTGAATGCAGGAAATAAAGTAAATGGGGCTCTACACTCTATTGTGAAAAGTCAGAATGTGTCAAAAAAGGCACGTATGGCAATTCACAGTGCTGTATTAGTCCCTACTTTAACGTATGGTAGTGAAAGTTGGGTGTGGCAGAAGAAGCACGAGAGTAGAATAAATGCAGTAGAAATGCGGTCGCTAAGGAGTATGTTAGGGCTGAATCTGAGTGACAGGGTGAGAAACTGTGTGATAAAAGAAGAGTGTGGATTGCAAGATGATGCGGTGACCAGGATTAAGAAAGGAATGCTTCGGTGGTTTGGTCATGTAGAAAAAAATGAATGCGGAAATACTGACAAAGCAAATATATGTTGCAGAAGTGAATGGAAGAGTCGGAAAGGGACGTCCTAGGTGGAAGTTTGTCGACCAAATTGGCGATATACTAAAAATGGGCCAAATTAAGAGTACCCTTAACCGACGAGCATGTATGCGTAGGTATATGGATGTGGAAGAGGCGAGAAAAATATGTCAGAATCGTGCTAAATGGAAGTCTGTAGTCTCTGCCTACCCCTCTGGGTGAGTGTGTGTAGTGAGTGTTTATGTATTATGTTATGTATTATGTTTATTTAGATAGATTAAAGACCGATTGTTTTACGTATCACTAAACATTACACCAGCGCACGCGGATAAAGCAGTCCGGGAGCGCTCTTTCTACCGACTTGCTTAAAATCAATATTTAAATCTAGCTGAGAGGTATAGACTAATTCTAGCTGGCCTGTACTATTCTTCATGAATCTGACGATCATATACAATACAAAAAAAATTTTCAAATCGGACTGGTGGTTTCAGGGATTAAAAGTGTTTAAATGAACAAAAAAAACTCCTCAACTTTATTATATCAGTATAGAACATATTGAGTTCCGCCTTTAAACTGGTTTCCAATTAAATATAACTGTATCTTATTAACAAAAACTTTACAAAGAAATTATTGATTATTTTTTATTTATATTAATTTAGCACGTCAGGGTTATTCACACTGGTACATTAACACCTATATTGACCATGCCTTTATATTACTGAATTTAGAGCACGTACAGACAAGCGAGACTGCCGGCATAAATAACTATAGCTGTTTATTAACCGCTACCGCAGACTTGTCGACGACAAAGTTAATGACTGCTGTTTTCTTATATATTGTGGGTCAGGTTTGTACGTGTAGGAATTCACTTGTAATTAATATAAAACTTGCATTTATTTCTGTGTTATCGTTATAATAACTCGTGAACCTCAAAAACATAGGTAACTGAATTTTTATTATAAATTTAATAGAATATGTGGAAGAGACATATTTTAATAAGTTAAGTCATACTGAAGCTATATTATAGTTGTAGTACGAATGGGTTGGCTTGACCGGGGAAGGACTCATTCACACATCATTCTCATAGAATACCTGCGTAACACAGCACCTTAATATTGTTGTGTTTCGAATGGTGAGTGTAGAGAACAGACGGCCAATTTCACTGGATATGAGGCATTCTATCTTATTCCTCAGGAGTCGCATAGCACCTGTATTTTGATTCGTAGTTGAAGATAGATTTAAATCTCTATGGGCCTCAGCATCTACTTATGATAAGGTAAATTGTGAGATCCCTTGTCACCCTTATTGCATAAAAAAAAAACTTTCATTCGAAAAACACAATAAATGTGGCATCCAAAAATCATCTTTATTTGTTACAGATAAGGCGGGTAAAGTAAAGTGAACATAAATAAATAATAAAAAAATGAATCATTAGAATAGGACCTTGTTGTGGTTGCCATGTAGTGACGGCGTAAGACAAATTATTCAGTCATCGATACAGGCTATAAAAGTCCACTACTAAATATATGTATGGGTCCCAGTTGCCTCGCTTGGCCGGTGGTTCATCAACCGTAGTTTTTTTATTATTTATTTTGGGTTGTTATCTAAAAAATAAGGCTGCAAGTCTTCTGTTTACATACAAATTTAATTTTCAAATAGCTTTTGTACCAAGAACTAAACTGCAAGTCACACATCAAGTAACTGCAGTCAACACTCACGCAGTACTGTTCGTCTGAATCAGCTCTTAATTTATTTATTTATGTACAAGGTTACTTGACTTTTTAAATTAATTTCTACGAGCACACAGTCTATAAGCCACAGAATCCACTTACCATTAGGTAAGTTGATAATGTGGCTTATGAATATCTACATTAATTCGTTGCCACATATGAGGATTAAAATGGAATACCTCGTTTCATAAAGATATTAATAGTTACTTTGCAACCATCAGCTAAATTAAATGATGTGTCTTACCTAGTTTGAAGAGCACCTCCCGCCATCTTTCAGTTGCGTGCACTAATCCCGTCACCACTAATCCCAGCACCACTACTCCCAGCACCACTTCTTTAAACACCACTATTCTAGGAAAGACACACCATCGGCGATAATACGACACGTGTTTCATCTCTACATGAGGCATCAGGTGATGTAGACTCTACAGCGGCTGACCGCTAGGGGCTGACTTAGCGGTCAGCGGGATTAGTGCACGCAATTGAGGGAGGGCGGGAGGTGCTCTTAAACCAGGATCATTTTATTTAATTTAGCGAATGATTGCAAAGTAACTATTAATATCTTTATTATAATGGATTTCCGCAAGGTAACGCCTGATTCTATCAACTACCTCGTTTCAAGTAAAAAGGGTCACCGGTTCATTACCCTTATCACACTAAGCACAGCAGCGTTGAGCTGTCACTTCACGCTGGTGTTCTGTGAGCGCGTGGTCCTACCCCGGTCGAGCCGACCCATTCGTGCTACAACCTGCTGCTAAAGCCATACTGGCTTTACCACGTATAACGAAATAAGTACTCCTACATCAAATGCTCAGATATTTATTGTATTTCATTTGTTACGTTATAACTACAAGACATTTAATTTTATGTACTTTTAACGTAATGAATAAAACAGTATTACTCAATCTATACAAATAAATAAATTTGAAGTGTCTGTTTGTAATGTCACGTTAACAACTTTTTACTAAATGCATATGAATGAAGATACGTTATTTATAACAAAAACACAATTTTTAAAATTTTTGTCTGTCTGTCTGTTTGTTTGTTCCGGCACGTCGCTACAGCTGGACCAATTTTGACGAGCGTTTCGCTGGCAGATAGCTGATGTTATAAGGAGTAACTGAGACTGCCTTTGTTTTGGAAAAATTAGGGTTCCGCGGAAAAAAAGCTCGACACCCACATACTAGCAGATGGACTGTGTGCTCGTTTGCCGCTCATATTTTATAAAATAAGGTGGTAGGTCTCCGTTCCTCCCTGGGAGTCTATCTGGGTAGTTGCTAGTTGTCTTCCCTCTGACCGAATTCTTCGCCAAAACAACAGTGCTTGCGATACGAGCACATTCAGATTCGTATTTGCCAGTTGATGAGCGGAACTAATAATTATTAAAAACGTGAATACTGGAGCAAACTTTAAATTACATTTCCCTTTTTAATTTTTATAGTTTATCAATATTACCATTTTTTATAAATGGAAAACTTACAGACCACCTGACAACGACAACTAGTAGCTACTGCAGCTCGTGAACATCTGCAACTAACTTCAAACAACTACTTAGCTCTTAAAACCATTTTGGGAATGTGGATGTGAATTGGCAATGAGGCGGATCGATGAGAGAAGGAGGAGGGGTATTGGGAAGTAAATAAGCTACACTATAAATTCAACTTAAAACATTTAAAAATAATACGTTGACTTTAGTAGACTTTATTCAATTTCAAATTGTTTCAATTACTCTAGCGGCTACGAGCTGCTGTAAACAAAGCTATGTCACTGTCCTGTCTACACATCATAATGATTCTCTTTTGTTTCTTGAAGACGTTTTACATACATCCACACGCGGTACAATAAAATTGATGTAGTTCGATCCCGCGGCCCGCAGTTCTACAACGAACCCACTGCTCCACTAACTCGTTTTGTATTCATTATTCGTTACATTTCTCATGGTACGGAACTTAAAGAATCGATCCATAAGAATCAATGCTATCAGTCAACGAAACATATCCGATCGGATGTAAACAAACCTGGCGTACAGTACAACTTATAAGTTACAGACGCAACTGCACACCAATAACAACAGTATCACTTAATAAATAAGAATAATATTTGCATGAAAATTTCTGCATTGGAACAATTCTGTAGTGTACAGCCGACAAATAAGTTTTAAATTAAGGAAAAAAAAGGAATTAAGGAAATTGAAACCTATTGCTGATTGAATTTGAGATAAAAATAGCGTATCCGTTTATATCGCTATTAACAGGTGTATTGGCGTATGAAATGTTCAAGTGGACAGATATAAAATGAATTGAAAAGCAAGCGCGCGCGCATTGGTGAGCGGCGCTCTCTTCGTTTCCTACTCTGTACTCAAGGCGCTGCCCTTGATGATTTATACCGGGATAACGATTACTTGTGTACTAATTAAGTAATATTATATACCCGAAGTTCTGTTGTGTGCTTAAAGTATCGACAATTCCTATTATTTTTAATGAAAATGAGTGTAAGTGACGATATAGATGTGCGGCCTGCAGCTAAACCTGGTTAGTAATTTTTATATTACAATATTCAAAATGAATTTTAAAGGAAATGAAACCTTTAATATTTTATTTAACCTGTTATTTAACTTCCTAAAAACGCAAAAGCAATTTTAAGAGGTCTTGAATATTCGTGCAAACCAAGCAAATGACTTCTCGGTAACCGCAATAGTTAATCTTTCGTTGTATATCGTCCATAATATAAAACCAATAGTAATAATAAAATAAATGCGTACTTATTAATACATAAATCTATATAAATAATAATATTAAAGTTCAAAAAAACTTAAGTCGCATAGAAGTAGCTGTGATAATCCTGGTGAAACAAAGTGTAAATTTTAAGTCAATCGGCCCTATACGAATTGGTGAAAATTACATTAAAATATTCCGTTACATGGATAGACAGGTAGACAGAATAAAATAGAATAGTTTTTATTTACCACGGCTTTGTAAATTACCTTTGCCCTGGGAAGAACCAGCAAGAAACCCAGCGGGACTAGCATGGTGAAGATCACCTCATTTCCAGGGTTTTTTTTTTCATTTTGGTATTATTTGATGTTATAATAACTCTTTGTGTTAAATATTATTGTTTAATAAAACATTTAAACTTGTTTATTGACAAATTTTGTACATTTTCTGGGATTTTGTTGTAAAATCGAATAAAGTACCCCATAAATGAATTACTAATTCTGTGGAGTCTAATATCTGGTATTACAAACTTATGTTTGCTCCTAGTGTTGTATGAACATCTATATTTATATCAAAGCAGTTTATGTTTTCATGTACATACATTACATCTTCACAAATATGTTGCAATGCAAAGTTAATACCTATGTTTATTTCTTTAATTTTTTCTCACAAGTTGAGTTTTCATTACAAGTTGAGTTACAAATCGCACGTACGGCTCTCTTTTGCAAAACAAATGGCTTCGATGTCACTCGCATTACCTCATAGCAACATTCCGTAAGATATCAGAAGAGAGAACGATAGACAGACAGAAGCGAAGCCAATAAAAGTGCTTTAAAAAATAATTGCTGCATGTATGTATCTTTGAGTGGGTCCTTGGATGATTTAGATTCACAATAAAACCCGGTAGGTGGCGCTGGTCGTCGGTATCCAGATATCAGCCGTGCGTATATACGTAGTATAATAAATTAATTACATAAGCATACATGTATGAATTTTATACAATAATTATATAACTTTATAATTTTATTAATATGAATTTCTAAATTTTAAGAGTACCTACCAAAAAGTTAAAAGATACAAAAATTAGACATAAATATTCGTTGCCTCGTACATTTTTATTTTGTTTATTAAATCTTAATATATAAACCACAATATATATAGTTAAAAAAGTCAAAGTTACACAGGCCACCTGTCATTTCTGTGAGAGTTCATAGGGCAAAGAAGTGTCAGCTGTGCCGCCTCAGTTACTTTTTATATAGAACAAGAATGATAAACGAGCACACAGCCCACCTGATAGTAAGGGGATGCTGTAACCCATAGCCATTAAAAAGCATCATCGAATAAGAATCTATAATACGAAGACGCACTGTACGATACTATTTGACTGCTTTGCCTTTAACTGCTTTTTTACGCTAGTATTCTGTGAAAGCGTGGTCCTTTCCTGGTCGAGCGACCCATCCGGTGTACAACCATAAATAGCTGCTGCGTAGCTCCACCACGTATAACCACGTACCTACGTGTCGGCGGACTTCACATCTTCGATAATATACATTTTTTATATTTCATAAACATGCAGGTTCCCGATAGGGTTTGCACCGAGGTTGCTTACGTACTGTGAAATTAGCAGCGATCACTGAGCCTCTAAATTATCAGTGTTGGTGAAATGAAGACAGAATGTAATGGAATACATAATACCTATTTATGAATGTATTCTGCACATAACAACGTGTTTGGGAGACCGCTGGCAAAACCAAAAGTAGACTTTTTATTACAACTTTTTATTAAACACCAGGATGAACTTCCTATGAAATATGATGAACTCCTTAATATGAAATTCTAATGAGATTTTTCCGGACCGATACGGTCCTTCAAAAAAGCTCAATATTTTTTAAAAAGCCGGTAATATATCTACAATTCCCCTGGCGTTACAGTTATTCATGGGTGACGGTAGACACTTGCCATTAGGTGAGACGCATGCTCTACTATATTATAAAAAAATATTAGCGTCACCCTTTCAATAAAGACATGAATGAAAATATATGTAGGTAAAAAATATATGAGTAAAATTCATAGTCAATGAAAATATAAAAGCACCAGTATGACGATTTTTTATTCGTGTATCGTATACCTCGATGAATTCTTCTTTTAAATCTGATGTTTTGTGGTGGTGGTTTTAACGATCTAACGCATTCCTTATGATCAATCTTGTTTACGAGCACTAGAACAACGGCGCAGTCACCTGAATATACGCGTCAACATCTCCAGAATGGTGCGCCAGAGTTTTATCAAACATAAAAATTATAATTCAAAATGTCGACCATTTTCTACCACGTTTCTTGTTATGAGCTAGTTTTATAGAGCAAAATTAGATTTAAATTAATAGAATCAGGTGTTCTGTTTTGGTAATCTATTAAATTAAAGATGTCCAAAAGCAATAAGCTAAAATCCGGGTAATAAAATAAAATGATGTGTCTCACCTTAGTATGAAAATTACCTCCGCTCTCCCTCAATTTTTTTTAAAAGAACAACATTACTAATATTCCCCTTAACCACTCGTGATAAGCTTTAATTGCTTGTGTTACGACTGGTTCACGCCAGTATTCGAATGGCGGATTCGAACCCACGACCTTTTTGAGTACGCGGTCCGCGCCCTGTCATTACCGAAAGAAAGATACACCACCGTCTATAATAAGGTACGTGTTTCGCCTCAAACGAAGCACCCTCAGGTGAAGTAGACTCTGCACTCCGCAGTGGCTTCAAGACAAGAGTAAGTGAGCTTTTGATTTGCTAATTGACCATATAGGTGTTCATAGCCACATATCGCCAGATAGGACAGATGTAAAAATCGTCCTTGGCCGGATTTAACCTTTAGGTACGCGATGAGCTAAACGTAGCTTATTCGGACGCTTGCGTTGTAGCACGAAAGAGTAGGCTCGACCGGGAAAGGACAACGCTCTCACATAATGCTGCTGCGTATAGTAAATGTTAAAAAAATAGATCCTTTTTACTTGAAACTGAGTATTCCATTTTAGACGGTACATATCTATGGGTCACAGCATCCACTTGCAATCAGGTGGACTGTGTCCTCTTTTTTGTCCCTTATTGAATAAAAAATATATGTAGGTTAGAACTCAGTGCCAGAAAAATGAGGACAATCACATTAATAAATCAACCAGAATCGGTACCAGTAATATACGTGTTTTTTTTTTATAGGATAGCGTGACAAACGAGCACACAGTCCACCTGATGGTAAGTGGTTGCTGCGGCCCATAGACATTTACATCTATCTTCCATTACAAATCAAAATGCAGATGCGTTGTCACCCGTGAGGACTGAGATGGAATGCCTCATTTCCAGTAAAAAGGGTCTCCGGTTCTCTACACTCACCATACGAAACACAGCAGCATTAAGCTACTATTTCACGCTGGTATTCTGTGAGAGCGTGGTCCTTCCCCGGTCGAGCCGACCCATTCGTGCTACAACTATACTACTAATATAATTGCAGCATGGCTCTACCACGTCAAATATACGTGTTGCTCGAAAACCGACTCTATAAGCTAGACACTAAGATTCCTTAGAGATACATTTTTGAACCTGGAATAAATTAATAAAAATTCTTCCTATTAAGATAAAATTAAACGGCTTTTTATTACTCAATTTAGATGGATTTGATACTGACACGTTAAGGGGTGTTAACCCGAGTATCTGCTGCGAACTTCTCTCGTAAAGACATAAAGTATCAAACGATAATAAGTTTTTCGTAATCACATTTTTTATCTCATTTAAGGTCATAAAGCACGTAGGTTGTCAATTCGATGATGGAATGAATAATAGAATTGTATCATTTTTAAATTGTATATTTAAATTTTGTCCATCTGATAGTAATTTGTATATATGGCCATAGATATCTACATATTTATATTAATATTAGCTCTCCAGGCAAACGTGGTCCTGCCCTTTTCAACAACCCTTTGTCGTGTCCTATTAAAAATTTATTTATTTATTTATTTCACAATTTATATACACACAAGTTAGGAAGAGGACACATCATGATCAAAATTTTGTACATAGGCTCTACTTATCTCACAATGAAATTTCTTCCAGTAGCCAGTTTCAAACACATGTGATTAATAAATGATTATAAGGTGTGCACTTTAATAATGATTGCACATGCACATTAATAAATGATTATATGGTGTGCACTTTAATAATGATTGCACATGCACATTAATAAATGATTATAAGGTGCACACACATACAAGGTGTTATTATACAACACATATGGGGATAAAATAAATACATACGACAGCCCAAATACTTATATATACAAACAAACATTAATACATACATAAATACTTAATATAATATAAAGTTATAATTAAATATATAAACATATATACACACACAAACATACATACATATATGTACATGCATATATTTGTAGTAGTATAATCCTTAAATTATCAAAAAAAATGTGAAAAAAACTATCCTACCCCTCAAGTTGGACCAAACTGCACACGGTTTGCAAATTTCATCGAAATCGGTTAAGTAGTTTAGGAGTCCATCGCGGACAAACAACGTGACACGTAATTTATATATATAAAGATATTAATACGTGAAGGGAAAAAATTATATCCCTTTTTTAAGCATATTGCGCCAACGGAGGAGTGTAAGATTTGACGAGAGCCATACAATGTGTGTTATAAATAAGTACATTAAATAAAATAAAATATTACATTCATTGACGACGTTCATACTACTAATATCAAACACATAATGTTAAACAGTAGTATGGGGCAGATATTGCCGCAAATGTT